CCCCGACCACCCACCTTTCACATATTTTGGCTCGCCCCTGTTCTGCACGTATCGCCCCGTTTTACGGTTCACCCCCTCTCCTGTGCCCTGCTCCCCGCAACCACCATCCTTCTTCTCTCCACTGAATGCTGACTGTTCGTTCCATATGATAATTGCGAAGTTATTCTCAATTCGGAAACTAATTATCGCCTGAATGTATGTGTGCTTGAAGTTGTTTCATGGACTCCAGAAAATTCAGCGGTGCACTAATAATTGCCAATTTTGTTATACATCTCGTACTCTCCACTGAATGCTGACTGTTGTTTCCTTATGACAAATGCGAACATATTCGCACTTTGGATGCCATACATTTGTGATAAGACCGTTCATGTCTACAAATTTGCCAAAATGATTACCTTTTGCGTTGTCAACAGAAATTTGTTCATAACGGCGAGTTCGGAAAAATGATCATCAATTGTGCTATCGCCAGAATGTATGTGTGCTTGACCTTGTTTGTCGCTGGAGGTTCGCCAAAATGGATGATGGGTCAAAATTGTTACCTTCAGTGTTGTCACTGGAAGACGGATCATATATGCAAGTTCGCACAAAAAATGACATTTTATTTAAAGGTCTTCTGTCTTATTAAAAAAATGGATAAATTGCGATAAAGACTGTCATTTCAGTCATTTCTTGCCAAATGTGAAATTGACTCCTCCATCTTGGCAAGTCCGGCATACCAAAAGTGCTTCCTTCTAATTTTTCATATTTGTCCTCGAACGATCACGAGCAAATCAACGAAGCCTAAAATTTTCAAAATTTTCTATGAGTTTTTCGAAGCGCGTTGGCACTGTCAAATTGCGAGACTACACCCGACTTCCCACCAACTGCGGTTCAGCATGAAAGAATTCCCAACAACTGCTAACCTGCGGGACCTGAAGTTCTATTTTGTTTGTGGAGTGCAAAACTCTGCTCGAAACAGATCCAGGTCCAACAGCAAGGCCAACCACAGACCCACCGAACTAGCCCCAGTGGCGGACTTCAGCTTCAAAGACAGCCCAAAAACTGATAACCTGCGGGAAACAAATCCACACCCATCCCTAAGAGTGTTAATGGCAATCCGCGAAGAGAGCCAACGACTGTTTGACACTTTTTGAAGGTGCTCAGTCACCAAACAGATCACGACAAAACTTCAACCTCGCATCAAGGTTCCCTAAGAGTGCTTTTGGCAATCCGCACAGAGAGCCAATGACTGTTTGGCGCTTCCTTAAGGTGCTCTGTCGAACACCGATAAGTGCGATTTGATTCCCTGTTCAACTAGTATCTGTCGGACCCTCTCTCTCTCTCTCTCTCTCTCTCTCTCTCTCTCTCTCTCTCTCTCTCTCTCTCTCTCCGGGAACTCACAAAGGGGGGATGTTTCCTGTTGTCGGAGGGAGTGGTGGTTTAAAGCGCCTCCTCAGCTTTTCCGATACCTCACTGTGCGAAAGGACGATTGCGAATTAATTCGTAGTTTAAGATTCCCTCCTCTATCGTAACTGAAGGGAATTTATGACTCGCTTAGAACGCCTCCTCACCTCTTACGACTATCGCTTCTAAGTTCAGAAGCAACATTTGTCGCACCTTTACAATAACGGTGGCGTTACCTTCACATCCATTATCGGACCATCAAAGCATTTGTAGACGTGGTCGCCTTTAGTCTTTCGCGATTTCCAACGCCTTAGCATGTTGGTAAAAGGGGTGAACGACACCTTAACGTATCGCTATGAGGGTTGCAAAAACTTTTAATGTGCAGTCGTCGTCGTCGCAATTGCGATTCCCGATGCCCAAACCTTTTTGCTAAAAGGGGTCGACGACGGGTATGTCATGGGTGAGCGAATCCAGTTGCAGTCTCATATAATGTGGTGATGACCGTTAATAACCGTTGGCGTCTTTAGCGTGAGTTTTCATTCGCCTTTATGTTGCGTCGGATGCTAGACTTTGAAAATATGTAACACCTTACCCCTGCGCATTGATTTCATTTCGCGCTCAACTGTCGTATTGACGGATAAAGATGCAGTGCCACCAGAATTGCTAAGATTCACATCTGCGCGAGTGGGAACTGTATGATGCATCACATTTGTCAAGCTCAGTGCGGGCAAGGTCCTCAGAGTCTTACATAAGGAATTTTTCTGAGTTTGGAATTGCGTCCTCCTTCAGCTTCGCTGGCAGTCATTATTATCCCACTTACAGCGCCTCCTGACCTCTTCCAATGACTCTGTGTGTGGCATTTCTATGCCGCGTACAGCCCCACTCACCTCTTCCAACGACTAAGTGTGCGAAAGCATTCGGGAATTAATTCGTAGTTTAAAATTTTGTCCTCTGCCTTTGCTCGCTGAAATTAATGACCCGCTTAGAGCGTCCATTTTTTCGCATTTGTGACATTGTCCAGCGCATCGGTCTGGCACCGCACGAAACAGCGCGGGACCCTCCCGGCCGCGTCACGCAGGAGTTGGTCTTAATCCTCGTCACGAATACATATGGACCTTCCACAAGCCGCTCCGGCCGA